ACATGTAGATGAAGTGTGTAGAAACTTACTTTTAAACCACAGTAACTAGAGTCTAGAGTGGATGATGATGTCCTTTGTTATCCACTCTTGTTTGCACTGGTCTGCTTAAATTACGATTATTAAAATGTACAGCAGATGTCAAAAAGCTGGAAGTTTGGATTGATTTTCCAGCTGGAAGAAAGAAAAACGATAGTTCTACTGTTTGCAATTATCTTACTTTGTTCAACTTAAGCAGCTGTAACAATGTATCAAATAACAATCTGACACCATGAAAGGCGTTACTTGTTGTGATGATCCTACAGATAATTATCATACAAGTCTGTCGCTCCTCTCTGCTTTACAGAGCATTACGATTTCATTTAATATAATTCATTTATTCATTTAAGCCTCGAAGATAATTGAGGTTTCTCTCATTTGCAATGATGTCGAAATACACAGTTAAAATTCAAAAGAGGACAATACACAGTTAAAGAGTGAGTGTGAGTGAGTGAGTGACCTCTCATAGCGTCATTTTCAGCTGCAGCATTCAGTTTTGTTTTCAGTGAAAAAGCTCAAAAACCTGCTTTGCTCAACACCAGACAGCAGACAGACTAGCTGGCGAACATAACTGAGCATATAGAAGCTACAGAGCCAGATATTTCCTTCAGGAATAGAGAACAGCTAAACAGCTAAAAGACAGTAAATATTGGACTTGCATTCACCCGGTGGCCAAAAGCATGACTCAAAATGACTTGATCTGTATCAGCTGGTGTATATAAGCAACTGTTTGCAATTATCAATTTAAAAAGGGGATGATATGTTAATGTTGCTTGTTTGTGCTGCCCCCAAGTGGCCAGAAAATATTACTCATTGCAGGTTTAAAGCTTTTTAAAATTTAAAGTTGAGTATTTCTCTTATGTAAAAAGGTATGAAAGACAAAAGTTATATGCAATATCTTAAATAAACTCTGTACTTGGATGTTTGAATTCAGTTTCGAAAGTAGGGCTGAGCAATCAATCGAAATATTATCAAAACCACAATAAGGCCAAATGCGATATCCAAATTACAAGACCTGCAATCTTTTTGATAAAGGTGAAATTCGTCACAACATACCATAAATGATGCATTGTGGTTCTACAGAGATGTCCCTGCCAACAAATCATATTCTCCAGATATAACGGAACATGCTTGTTTGGTACAAGCTCCAGCAAAAATAACATCATCATTTAAAAAAAAGTTTTCAGTGAAAATGAAATGCAAAAATTGCTATTCCAACAATACCTGCAAAAATATTCGCAAGATGATTTTTTTTTTTTGCGAATCTTTCAGAACTAGCTGAAAGTATGTAGAGGTAGCTGACAAAGAAACCACAGGCAAGAATAACTGGGAAATGAAGTGTGCTGAATTAGCTATCACGCTAAAAATGGCTTGTATCATGCTGTCAAAGACTCACACCACTGCCATCAGTGGTGTTAGGCAAAACCGCTGGAGGCCACTCACTTTAAAGGAAGGCTGCTTGCTTTAACTACTATTCCAAGATAAATTACAAACTTTAAGAGCTCTGAAACAAAGGTGATACTCATTAAGTGCACCAATAAATTACCATTTCCCCCCACAGCCTCACTGCTTTGTAGGTATATAGGAGTGAGACCAACATTCCAGCTGACTTCATTAACTTTCATTTTCCATTTTATCTCTCCTGAAGTGGACCATTAAGGGTAACTGATCAGCTAATCTGCCTGTGATTTATGTGGCAGGGAAACTGAGGACTTAACTGAGCCTCAGAACACATTGATTACTGACATGGTTAATTGGCTAAACCCACTGGTACATTGAGACAGGCTTATTGGAAATGTCAAATCAAACGGCTCATTTGCAATCATGATGTATGGTGTCTATTCCAGCTTCTGCCCAGGCAGCACATACTGACACACACAGCCGTAGAGGAAGGGCCTGGGATCTCTGCCTTGAATTTGCAACTGACCATCTGGCCTTCTAGGACGTTGGCGCTGGTTGGAGCTTTTTCTTTTTCCCCCTCCCAGCGTCCACATGCCTGTGTTGGATTTGTTTAGCCGACTTGCTGAACACAGGATAGGGAGCTTGATGTGAGTGAGACTCGATATACCTGTGGGGGTTTGAGTAAAGATTCAGCTTTGAAAGCAGATGTAAGTGATTGAACAGTTTTGACAGAATGGAAAATATGTTGTTTTATTACTTTCTTTTTTCCTGAGTGTGTGCTTTGGAACATCAAAACAATGGCTGCGACAATTTTGGCCCAGAATTACCTACAATGTAAGCAGATGAAAGCAGCATGAAATTGAAAACTTTTGATTTAAGCAGATGGGGTAAGGGACATTACGAGGAACAAAAAAGGTGGTGAGAATTTACATTGTTTGAATCATAGGATCCACTTGAATTATTGCAGGCCATGTTTAGGAATATGTTTTTACAATAACCGGGAAATAGAGAAACAAATTCTCCAAAGTCTACTCTTGACTGGCAATAGCATAGCAACACGCTGTTTTCTGACTTGAACTGGACACACTGGATATACATGTGTAAAACATCACAACTTGTCATGTAAAATTAACAGTAATGGAAAGTGGGGTACAAACAAATTCTTTTTGCTGTCATTATAATTCTTTCAATAGTGTAATTAGAAAAGTGCATGGAGTGCAACACAAGAAACATTCAAAGGAAGAGTGACAGCTCTTTTTAATAAAATCACCACCCACACTACAATTAACTCCAGAGAGGTTCTGTACTTTATGTGGCTTATGAGCTCTATGACAAAAACTTCTCCTGTTAAAATGTTTCGTTGCAAATTGTCTAAAGTTTTTCCACATGGGGTCAACATCTTGATGTGTGTAATTATGTTTTTGTAATACTGCTGTATGTTAAAGTGAAGTTAAAATCCTTATGATCCAAGATGCTGCAGATTCCCTATACACCGCGTTACTATAACTGCGTGACGGCAGGCTGGAGATGTCAAGAGAAGAGACGTCAAAGAATATCTGACTCAAACAGAAGCATATAAAGGGCATAGCAGTAAACTACATTTGAATTCCATATCGATATGCCTCCAAGTGTACGTTGTTGGCATGGTATAAGAACAATGAGCCATGACAGCAATTAACTAAGCTGTAGTCACAGAGCATATCAATTTGTACTCCTTCATGATATGACTAACAATAATGCAATGACTATATACCACTTAACATCAATTTTACTTTTTCTGTGCATCCCTCATGTTTTCCAAAAGTTCTTCCCCTCTCATCCAAACCAACATCCAACATCTCACCAGCTGTTTTGTTGGCAAATTGAGATAAATCTCAATAAATGGACACGGCACTGCATGGGCTTATCTAAGGTTCTCAGCACATTCAGTACATGCCAAACACCTATTATTCAAGTTCCTTGGCTCGCTGAATAGGCTGCAGTCATGCAGTAGCACTGAAGGAGTCAAACCTTCTGGACGATGTCAGTGAATCAATGAGAGCATGGATTAGCATCTCTATAAGTCTGCCACTCACAGTCTTTCACACAGTGCCTGAACATATTACACACGTTAAATCAAAAATATACTATTTCATAACTCATACTCCATGAGAAATCAGAAACAATACCTTAAGTATTTCAGCCTTGAGGCTGTTCTCCTCACAATAAAGCAATTAATGTTGTCGCCTGCAGACCAAGTTACAGAATACTGGATACTCACAAAGCATGTGATCCAATGTAACGAGTTCAAGCAAAGTTATCGTCTACTTAGCAGAGCTTATGTGAAAAGATGTGTTAGAGATACAACGGCTCATAGAAAAACTGTTTTCATAAAGTTTAGATTATTGTTCTCATTCTGAAAGGAAGAGAAATACTAAATGTGTGTGAAAAGAGTGATGTACCACAACCAAGTGAGCTAATCTGCTTCCTGCAATATTGTCCTTTATGTGTCTTTGAATGCAAAGAGATTACTTTTTTCACATGTGAAATATACTGGTCTGTATGAATTTTACATGGGTTGGAAGGTCCTTTCTTTCTTTTGGCTAGACTCCACTATTTTATTGTGCCAGTTACATTCTTACTGTTAAATACCACAGAGCCAATAGAAAAACAAGACTAGGAGTTAACATGCTAAAATCTGGCAGGTGTAATGTTTACCATGGTCCTTTTTTTGCATGTCAGCATGCTAATGTTTAAACACAAAATACAGCCCAAGCTGATGGGAATGTCATTAGTTTTGCAGGTATTTGGTCATAAATCAAAGTGATAAATAAATTAAAATTTTGACCTGATGATATTACTAGATGAAAAACCAGATTACCAAAGTATTACAAATCAACACGAGAGGAACATGAACGTGTGCACCAAATGTTACGGCAATCATACAATAGCTCTCGAGATATTTCACTCAAATGTTAACCTCATGTTGATGTTAGATAAGTCAGGGGACCAACAAAGTCATTAGGATTCATCCTCAGGGAACCATGAATGTCTACAAAATTTCATGGCAATGCCAATAGTTTTTGAAATATTTCTTCTGAACTTAAGCAGTGGACAGACAGAATGACATTTCTATACTGACAGCTAGGCCATTTTTGTGGCTAAAAGACTAAATACTGTCATATAAAACATAAATCATAAATCTTTAATCACTGTCCCTCAGCCTGAAAACAGTGGACTGAAAACAGTGTAACCAGCACATTATCTTGGATGCCTGCTCAGTTTCACCAAACTTAAGATTCATGATGCATCCAAACTTTTGAAGCAACAGAGCAAAGAGAAGAATTGATATTTCACTGCTTGCTATGAGAGGAATGCTGTAATGATTACAGACTTGCAAGACACCTCTGCGTTATCATGTTTGCAGAATTACACAAGCATTTTTCTCTCCAAATGTTCTTCACCTTCTTCTCCTCCTCCTATCCCTGACATTTGGGTCTGACTTTTTAGCTTAATTTCCCGTCTCATTTAATAACCTTACACCTCAACTCAAATCGTTCTGCTCCCTGTTGATATCTTCTCTCACAGCTCTGTTGGAGGTTATACTGGCCAGCAGAGACTGCTTGGTGGCTGGAGACTCGTGCTCGAGTGATGAGACCTGTAGTCCACGTCTGCGGACTTTGCGTCAGTGTGTGGCGGGCAATGGCAACATGAAGCTGGGCCCCGGTGCCAGAAGCCAGTGTGCCAATGCAGTGTCCGCCCTACTGTCCAGCCCCTTGCACGGCTGCCAGTGTAAACGAGGCATGAAGAAGGAGAAGAACTGCCTGAGCATCTACTGGAGCCTTCATCAGTCTACCATACACGGTCAGTGGTTTTTTGATAGCAGCTTTCTGAACTGCTAAAAAAAAAAAAAAAACAAGATTTTTCTATACAGTCTGCAAATCAGAACTTCATTTTATTCACATAAAGGAGCTGTTGAACAGTGGTTCCCAAAAAATAATATGAATAACTGTCTGCCTGTCTGTATAATTTAGTCGACTGGAGCCTCAGGGGCTAAATGAAAATGACTACATGAGAACATTATTTGTGTTTCATACACTTGTGATGAATCATGGTGTTACATCATTCAAGCCAATGTTTCTATCTGTGTCTTTTATTCTTTCAGGACTAGACCTGGTGGAGAGTTACCCGTATGAGACTGTGCAGAGAGATTACGACTATGTTCGCTTGGCCTCTATCACAGCTGGCAAGTTCAATGACCTTCACCTTATTTTATACCATTTTACTCTTTCAACATGTTTCGCTCTAGCCAGAATATATGATTCCCATGTATCATGTTATTTCCTTGAAGCACGCCCCAGGCAAATAGAGGCCCCTTATGTTCTGACACACATTTACACAAGTCTTACCATTCATTTGAACACAATCCCAGCATCCAGATTTATATCCTTGTCTTCAAGTTGTTGGCTGGCAGCTTCATTCATATCCCAGACTCATCCGAAATAACATAATCCGTGAATGTCAATGAATACTAATACTGTCATTCTTAATACGACTGCCTTAACATGACATTAATCCCATATCTTGCATTGTTTCTTATAGCCTCAGGCTGCTATAACAACGCAATCTCATTAAATTTATCAAAATAAACCAAAACTTACATTTTGTTGATACAGAAAAAGCAAACATTGTCAGATCGCAGTGTTTGCAGTATACGAAATATATCTTTTCTCACATGTTCACCATGTGAAACATTTACTGAAGCTTACGTTTAAGGTAAAACAACATTAGCTTAAATTAAAATTAGGGCAAGGCAAGTGATCCTTAGTAGGGCTAAAACTAAAGACTATCAATTAATCTGCTGAGAACCATTAATCAATCACACTTTCTCAGAGTCTTTGGTGACTCTGAGAGGCTGTGAGCCTCTCTTCTGATTGGCTCTAGGGCTGCACAATTAAATGAAATATAATCGAAATCACAATATGGCCAAGTGCAATATCCATATAAAAAAACCCCCAGGAGCTGCAGTTTTTTTGTGCTAATTTCCCAGGCAACATGTAAACAAAAGGTTCATTCAGAAGTTGCCACACAAAGTGCCAGGTTTCACTCACACACCAAACATGATGTTGGACATTGATGTTTGGATTGCAGACCACATAACACTGACTTGTGTTCAGATCTGCTTCTTAAGATAATTGGATATCAATTTTTTTTTTATGCATTTGCTGGATCTTATTTACAATTGTGCCTGCATCACTTTCTCTTGCTCTCTGTCTCCTTCTGAATTGCTAGTTACATTAATCTGTGATGTCAGAAATACCGCTCTCAGTTACACAGTTGATAACACAGTGGTCAATAATGTTAGTGGAAAGTTCTATTATGACAGAAAAGACTCATCTGTGGCATCAAGTACAAACTACAATGGTCAAAATAGTAAGTGGTAATAGAAGCCAGAGCAACACACCTTTAAGCCAGATGCTCATTGTTATGAGTTTTCCACACTGCTCCAACACTGAAACTCCTTGAATTATTGTCTGATTTGATAAAAAAATATGATCGGCCGCTTACAGGAACCGTGAAATAACAAAAGGAGGAAAAGCCATGGTAACATAACAGTGACGCACATTTTACAGATCAAGGACAACAGTTAAGAAAATGTGGAGAGACGTCACTGTGCTAAACAGATACAGTCTGTATTTCTGCAAAATGGCACACAGTAGGTTAACATCTGAAACTTAAAATCTGGTAGTGCAATTTGCCTACAAACCATAATCATTTTAATTAGTAGGATAGAAAGGCAAGAAGTATAGACCTTTGTCTTGTGCTAACATTTAAAAAAAAAAAAAAATCCAACAATTCTGAATCTTGGAATTTTTTTTTTTTTTTTTTAAAGCAATTGGAAAAAGTTCAGGGATTTTAAGAGTTGAGAATTCAATCTGGGGATAATTGATGTTCTTTTTCATTTCAAGAAATTTTGCAATTTTCATAACTGGTGCAGAGACCAGACTGCTCTCCTATTACTAATTTTGTTTTTCTGGTCTTCAGGAAATGCACCTCCATTGTTTATTTACATTCTCTTCTACCTTGAAGCTGAACTTGTATTCCCAACTGCCTGTCTGAACTTTTGAAACTCTTACCAGATGAGATTATGTCTCAGCATGTTGAATAAATAAATCAAGTACATTCCACAGGTCACACACACTCTTATTCACATAAACACAAAACATTTTTGCTCTATTGCTGATTTTTTTTCCCTCTAATATCTACGCTTGTCTTCGACCTTACTTCCATCCACAGACTCTGATGTTGGCATGACAACTGTGAATCGCTGCCTGGATGCCGCCAAGGCTTGCAATGTGGACGACTTGTGCCAGAAGCTCCGCACAGAATACGTCTCAGCTTGTATCAAACCCACTGCCAAGTCTGGCCTGTGCAACCGACCTAAATGTAATAAGGCGCTGCGCAGGTTCTTCGACCGTGTTCCCGCCGATTACACACACGAGCTGCTCTTCTGCCCCTGTACGGACACAGCATGCGCAGAGCGTCGGAGGCAGACCATTGTGCCCAGCTGCTCTTATGAAAGCCCAGAAAAACCCAACTGCATCACACAGATGAGGATCTGCAAAGCTGACTATGTCTGCAGGTTAGCACAGAGCTAAATAGAAGCTTTTAATTGGTTCTCATTTATTTCCATGTCAGTCGTTCATGTCTACGACAGATATTAAAATCATGTCTCACTTTGCCATGGTCCCATATGGATAAAATAACATATTGCTGTAATATAATCATAATCCCCAGGTTTGTTGGGCTTTATGATCCAGCTCTTTTCTCATGATATTCCAAATCAGCAAAGCCAATGTTTCATTAGGCCCACTTTAATTGAAGTATTCCTTGGATATAGATTTTAGATATACTCACCATACATATTAGCACCAGCACTATTCAGTATTATGGCTCTTTGAAACCAAATAAACAGCCATTCAATCAGCAAAATGCCCTGCTGTTTTACCCTAAAGCTTTCTACCACCATTGGTTAGAACACCCCAGAGAGCCTGTTGGAATAACACATTAAATATTTAGCACAGATAAAGAGCCAGATGGATCAGAGTTATCGCTCATTGCTATCTCTGGTCATGGCCATTATTTTTCACAGCCCCATTACACTCAGAGGGCTTTACTAATGATCCCAGGGCTGGGGGATGAAATATATTACTCTTTCTATCACTTTCACATTACAGTCCAATGCTTTCAGTCTTCACCACAGCCAACAATATTTCTTTATGTCAGAGGGGCAAACTCTTAATTAAATGACCAAGTTATAGTAGAAGGGATGTATTAAAAAAAAAGAACCAGCAAAACTTTTTACATAAAACAATACAGGGATCTGTCATGTTTTTGCTAAGCAGTTGTTGCTATTTCTGTAGGTCTCGTCTGGCACAGTTTCAGTACGACTGCGAACCCTCTGAAACGTCTGCCAATGGCTGCAAGCAAGGGAACTATGGAGCCTGTCTCCTCGCCTACACAGGGCTCATAGGTAGGTGCACACCTGAGAGGTAACACACAGCCAGAAAACTTATAAAAGAGAAAGAAAGATTTAATGAAATGAACAGGTGGAGAAGGAAAGAGACAGTACGTGTGAAAGAAGGTATTTGCCATATGCTGTGTGACAGTGTTGTGCATGAGCTTGCACATGATTTTGGATCTGAACATAACCGTTTGCACAAGAGTTAACAATGCACCAACCAAAAGGCTGTTTGTCATCTGCCAAAAAACATGTGTTTCATGGTGGCACCAAAGTATTTACAGCAGCCGGCACGCTTACTGAAGTCATAGCACATCTTTCAGCTAGCGACAGTAATGAAGCCAGTGGTGGAGTTTGTACCAGCCTGTAACATAGAGTGGAACTCTATGTTACATAATTTGATTCAGGCAGGCAAAATAATATATAATATTTCCATTGCATCTACAGTATAATTTTCACATGCATAATAAAAATGTACGTAGAGCTGCATTACATTTGCAAACTGATGTGCTTTCAGTTGTCCTCCCACACTCTCTTAAACATCAAACTCAAGGACTTTTCAAGGACCTCCAAGGCCCAATTCCCTTAAATTCAAGGACCCAACACGGCATCGTTTGGGACAACGATCAAGGTTAATTAGTGTTTCAACACTAAGATTATTTATAATGAGAACTAGCAGGCTTTACAGAAGCTGACAGGCAACAATTTAAAAGAATGAGAGGCTTGAATGTGTGAACACGTCTCTGCTGTGCTGTGTTATAGTGATGCACACCATGTGCTCTCTTGCCTTCTCCAACAGCACAGCAAAACAATATATTGGGTAAGTTGAGCAATAGAGACAGACACTTATTTACAAGTTGAAGAAAAAATATATAAAATCAAGCACTTTCAATGACGTGTCTATTTTCAAAATATTTCATTGCTTTTTTTAAGGGTATCATGGACCCGTCCTGTCTGCTTTATGACACATTGTTTAAGTGGTAAAACATATACTCACATTGGTTTTTCTTGGCTTTTAAAAGTAATATCTCTGTGACTCTACAGTAGTGTGGTAGTGATGTGGCAATGACCGGGGGCTGGGGATGGATCTACTGAAAAAGAACAGCTCAGCGAAGCTCATTTAAAAAAAAAAACAAACAGAACAAATGAACATCAAGAAGTTCATTTTTGGGACTATGAATGTAGTTCAGAATTTAGAAGTGTGAACAATGAACATCAACTGGTTAATTTTGATCAGTGTGAACTGAACTCTGAGCAAGCTCTCGTGAAGTGTGAACTGCTGTGGGATAGAAGGATAAAGAGGCAGGAATCTGTGAGCGCTAAATTCATACATACAGAACAGGTTAGGAGTGAGTTGGAGAATATAATGAAACTAAAAGACAAAAAGTTCATATGTTCAAAAAAGCATAAAAATCTCGTTACAGAAAAACAAAGGCTGTTTATATGATGCGATGTGTGTTTAATTTGTTTTTATAACAGTCGGTAAAAGAAAAAGAACAGCCACTTCTTTTCCACACACTGGAGAGAGAAACTAATGTAATGCACTTCAAGAACCTCAAATGGTGCCCCTCAGCACTAACACACACTTGGCATTTTCATTTCTGTCTCGTATTTATTAAAGCACTTGAAATCTCACCTCCACTATGTTGAGAAAAAAAAAAAAAAAACAGCTATGGAAAAAAAAAAAAGAAATTGCAATGCCAGAGACTTCTGTGACCCAAAATAGAAAAAGTATTTCTCATTATCTCTCTTTTAGGACAAACAAGTGAGTGTGCAGCCAGTTTAACCAGCTAAACTAGAACGTTATCACCCCTTTACATCAGGTCAGCCTATAGGAAATGCAGTGTCCATTAATGTCCTGGAAAATGAAGCACTACGAACTCAGTGTAACAACTCAAAGGAGAATGAATATTTAATACTGATGGAGGCCTGGTGCGGTCTCTCTGCAGGAAGTACAATAACTCCCAACTATGTTGACAACTCCACGTCCAGCGTGGCTCCATGGTGCTCCTGCTCAGCCAGTGGGAGCCAGAGAGAGGACTGTGACAATTTCCTGGGATCCTTCACCGACAACATCTGTCTCCGTGAGTGTCACTCTGTCCGCGATGTAATGGACTTTGGGGTAATGGGTTGTGATTACATAGAGGTATTTGCTTTCATATGATGGGGGATAAAGTTTTTTCTGCTATTTTAATGTCTTGTTTAATCGGTATCGTAGCGGTTCAAGGGACAGCGCTGATTCTCTCCCTCTCTGCAACTTTATGATGTTTTATGATCTATGTTTTTTTTTCCAGGTAACAATTAGATCTGTTTCCAGTTATGACTCAGTCTGTAAAGGACTAAGTGTCTTTACAGGAATACTAGGTCAACAAAGTGAGACAAACTGCATTATCAAATTGCAGCGATGAACATTTTGGCCACTGTAATTTAATTTATTGTTTCAGTTTCCTCGAAGATAAATGTTTAGAACAAGTTGCACCGTGTCATATATTTTGCGAAACATTTCTTTGCTTTGTTCTTAAAAGTTAGATGACAAGATGGATACCATTCTCATATCTGTGATATAAAAGTAAGGCTACTGCCACATCCAGTTAGATTAACATAAAGACCAGGGAACGGGGGAAACAGCTTGCCTTGCTCTGTCCAAAAGGTAACAAAATCCACCTCCCAGCAAGAAAGGATAAGTTGCAGTTTTACAGGGGGCCATGTGACTATTTTTTGGCTTTTTGGCTTCTTCTTCTTCTTCTTTCTTTCTGCCAAAGTCTGCCCAAGCGATGGACACGGCGTTCTTTTTAGGTATAGGCTGCTCAGGTTGAGGCTCAGCGTTTGCGCTCGTGTCATCCATATCAGCAGCTTCGCTTTGAGTGAACGTGGACTAACTTTAGTCGGACAGGGTGGACACACATGACTGGACACAAGGCACTGTCTTTTTAAGGGGACAGTTCATGAACTGTCATTCATGATTAAGTCGGTGAGAGGTTCTAAATGTTGGTTTTGACATTTTTGTCTATAATCCTAGGAAGCATCACGTCTGTATCACCTCAGACAAAAAAAGTCAGCATATGGACACTTTCGTTGTCAGTGTGAACAATGTAGGACTTCAGAGTAAAAACAGATATAACAGATATACAACCCAACACTGCATGGCTGAAACAAATACTGTTCCATGAATACGTCACTCGTTTGTTTGGATTTCTACACTTTCATATCGTTCCACTCAACTACCGATACAGCCAGAGTAATTCGATTATGAAATGAAATACGAAAACGTCCCTCCCTAATCAGAATAATTTGCACTGATAACCTGCAATGGGGAACATTCAAACAGACTTGAAATGAAAAGCAAAGAAAGTAATGATAAAAGAAAGTGACAGGAAAGAGCCGTCAGGTTTCATTGAGACAGATATTTCCCAGCATTGTCAAACAGCAGCAGAGCGAGATGTATTTAACTGAAAGATCCTGTGCATTTTGTAGAATTACAGTATGCTCTCTCTCTCTCCCTATCTCTCTCTTTCTGTTTCCCTCTCTCTCATTTACTTCCTCACTTCATCCCCTTTTGTTATTAATCATCCCCTTCACGCTGTTTCCTTGGTAATTCTGCCTGGGTGTTCAATCACTTCTTAGTGAATTATAAGTAAAATGGCCCTGCAATTCTTAGGTAATGGTATATTTATTAAATCTCCTCCACATGATATACGTGTTTTCTTTTTCTTTCCTGTTTTTGATGGAAAAAGTTAGAAAACAAATTCATGGAAACTTCCTTTATAAAACGCTCATTAAAAATCAGGGGATTATAAAGGTCAGTAGGATTTGTCATCTGGGAACCATGAACATATGTGCAAAATTGAATGGTAATCCATCCAGTAGTTTTTGAGATATTACAGTCAACTGACCAACTGACTGATATTGCCATGGATCCACGTGGCTAAAAACATTTTGAGTTGAGTTGAGGACGTAATTGAACACAATGAATGTATTGAACCGGGTGTAATATGGTACCAGTTCTTTGCCATATTACCAGGGTGTTGATTACAGATTCATGAAGGTGAGCTGGGCAATTCAGAACCAGAGGAAATAGCAGTACATACAATAAATTATACTGTATAAATAATGAAAATGATATGGATTGAAGGTGAAGCACGTAAGATCATTTCATATTAGGGTGCTACATCAACCTTAATCCAGAGGTCCCACGTGTGTCTTGTAATTTATTGCGTCTTCTCTTATTCTGCTGTGTTTCCTTATGCTAATTTTCACCCTAACACCCTTCTTCTTATGACATCTGCTCTTGAGTGTGAATAATTAATGGTCCTTATTATGGCCCTCAGTGAGTAAATATATCTATCGCTGAAACCTGTGCACACCATGAGTATCTTTGCTTGGTGTATGCAGCGAGGTGAATCTCTGGCCAGTCTTTCCTCGGGCCCCCTGCCTAGAACAGATACAGAGAGAGGTCTCAGAGTTGTTTGGCCAGTGCAAATGGTCTATGAGTTAATGAGGTCGATGTGGAGAGGCAGGTGCAGTTTGGATACTTGAAGAGAATACTGATTATTTTCTATTTTTTCTCTCTGCTGCTGACCAAGTCCAAACTAGCTCTGGCCCAGCAAAAGCTTGCATGCAAAATTTACAACTCCGAACCAGAGGCATCTCCCATGATTGAATAAGACATGAGTGGAACTCGATGAAAACATATCAAGACAGTGCTGCTGAGGTCTAATACCATTTGTTTTTTTTTACTGCTTTGTCTCATGTTTCAGGGAATGCTCTCATGACGTTTGGAAGCGAATCAGACCAGCAGCCGACTCTCAACCAGCCCACTACACCCAGCCTCAGCCTCAGCAGCAGAGAGAACAGGAGCACCACTTCTCCACCAGAAACCATAGAAACGATGAGGAGCCTTCTGGATACAATTATACCAACACAGGTGTGCACTTTTCTGTCATGGTTAGTGGTCGATTTTAGCAGCTGCACACAATTATACATCCAGCAGTGAAACCATTCCTGACACCAGAAGAAAGCATGACTCAGAAGTGCCGCAACGATATTGCCATTTTAAAATATTAAAGCCACAATGTGCGATGCTTTCAACAATTCATTCTCAGTGTTGCTGGATAAATCCATGGTGCCAAAGTGGTACATTTTCAAATTCTACACACACTAGCTTTAATTTGAAACATGTCAGATTGATTATCATGTTTTTTGATGGATGCATCATTTGGTGGGTCAGAAACTAAAATGAGCATCGATCAGGGAGAGTTCATGATGTCCTGACATAAAGACTGTCATGTCCAAATTCACTTGCTTCGCTCACGTAGTTTGACAAATTCTCTGACATGTTCCATAATGTTGGTCCATTGGAGTAACTAGTGCTCTTCCAACTGTAAACACAGCGAATCAAATTAGGAGTGGAGAGTAATAAAAACATAATTTCATACGTAAATATTTGTTGGAACAGTGAAGTTGGTCTATGGCACTTTAAGGATCATCTATGTAAAGCTCCCAAGTCGTGAAAAACAGAAAGTAATAATTGTTTGTGGTTCGTTATGCAGTTCGTCATGTTTCATGGCAAAGACACAAAGAGAATTTATGACTTGCCTGATCTGACACAATGACCATCTCATAAGACAGTGGACAGCAACTGGTGGCCTGCGGACCAAAATTGGCATGCCAGCAATAATATCTGGCCCTTCCGATTATTCTGATAATCAGATATTCTTAGATATTCTATTTGAATTTTATTTGTAACATAATACAGTATCCACAGATTCTTAGCACTGGGCTATCCAAAAACTGATCTCTCTGTCTCCTCCCAGGCCCTGGGAAATGAACTGCTACTGGGTCAGTCCACCTTGCCCTCCAACAGCCTCCCAAACTCTGCTTCACCTCCTAGTCTAATGCTTCAAGCTGCCTTCAGCCTTCTGCTGCTGCTCCTTCATCTGCTAAACAATGGACACTAAAGCCTGCAGGGAAGCGTGCAGAGGACCCTCCTAGTACCAAGCAGATGGGAGGACCAGTGCAGTTCAGAAGAAAATGGACTGTGTGGAGTTTCTCCTCCCTCTAAATATGTACAGCAGTTCTGTTTTTCTATTTTTGTGTCTCTGTGGTCCAGTTCCACCTGCCGGGGCTCTCACTCAGACTGTGGGAGACTTCTGCAGATTGAAGCCAGTCTGTACATTTGTACATTGTCATTGCGATCAAGTCGAGCCAAAATGAAGTCAGAGTACCGCTTTTATGGACTAACCCAGCTCTCAGCTATCCAACTGTATCAATTTTCAAGAGTTATTATGGAAATATAAAGCAGATATGTATGATACCAAGACAGAAAGTATGTGGGTACCTGTGAAGATTTGTATTAACAACAGAAGCTCTTATTTGAAATACTGTAAAAAGGAAAATGGTTGGAGTAAACGACTGAACTCTGTGTCCGCTCTGAACTCAGTGAGCAAAGTGAGTGGAAAGCTACTGGAGTATATGTGGCTTTAATACCACTCTCCTCAAGTGACTGAAAGAGGACCATTATTTCTGATCAATACTGGAATATGGGAGTGACTGAGAGACAATGGAGCGACATTTTGCTCAGACATCCTGGACAAAGGCTAGAGGAGATGTGGGAAACCACAGTTCATAACATCAACCTTGACATAATAATCGTCCTCCCCATCTGACTCTTACCCTTTGACAAGCTCTTTCACACCACTTTATTTGTCTTTGCTAAAGCTATAGAACCTATTCATAAAAAAACACAAGTCATTGGTCTTTATCAGCAAAGACAAGTTCTTGGATTTGAAAGGAAATTATCAGAAAAGCAGTAACTCTTTACCTGTAGCTGCTGTACAATGTGTTTGTGAACGTAATACCCTTTTCTTTCTCATTGTGTATGTGAACATTGCTATATGGGGTTCTGAGTTTTTGTGCCAGAGAGGGAAGTGAATGGTTTGACACCACCAGTGCAGAGCCTGTTTGAGATTAGACAGTTATGAATGATTCAGTACTTTCTGTTCTGGGAACTTGCCACTGAATTCTGAAGACGACCAGAGGTGCTGCAAATAAAAAGTTCTCAGATCATTATGTTTATGCATTAGCTTCATCTTTTTTTTTTTTGTTTGTTTTATTACAACAAATGATTCGTTTGGTTCTATTGAAGTGAACACTATCAGTTACTTCCTCTGAGGAAACAAGCGACAGAAATGAATATCATGTTTACCTAAACTAACACTCACATGACCTTCAGGAGAACATCATTTGAATAGAGAATATAACAGGATTTACAGCATAATCCAGCAAATTGTGACCTCAAACTAACATCTCACCAGGTGCTACAACTTCAGTGCTGTTATCTTTCTGTTCCTCGACCACAAACAAAGTCCTTTAAGGCCCTTAGAAACAAAGTTCAACCCTGAAGACCTTGCAACATACTAACTTGTAAGTATTTATTGTGTATGTTAAAATTTTAATTTATCCATTACCTGACAACTATTTGTAACAGTACTTTACTCAACAGCTCATTCAGTCAGGTAGCTGCAGCCAGCTGCCAAAGACTAAACAACGAAATGTTGGAATTAATGGCCAGACTTGAGCACGAGTGGGTGAGACAGGTATGATATACAAGAAGTTTTCATTAAATAACTGGCCCAGTGGAGTGCATAATTCTAGTAAAGCATCTGGCAAGTTGTAAAGTTTGTTCAGAATCCAGTGTAATTTTAAAAAGATTAATACATGAAAATAGCTACTATTATAGGCTACAAGTAATGACGATGAGTGGCTGATTTCTGCTGATGATAACTTGACTTAATAACCAGAATTTTCGACTCTTTTACTGCTTACATTTAGCTGGAAACAGACAACAGAGCACAGCAGTCCACATAATCAACACCAGATTGTGAGTCAGGATGATGTAATTATCTTCTTGTTAGAGTTGTTAAAGGTGAGGTTGCAACAAACAATATGCCGTCAGGGATCATGAGGCAGCAAGAGGAAAAAATACTGCCAGTGAACCAATGACAAATTACAGCAATTGTGACTGAAACAGAATATTTTTTTCTAAAAAAATAAAAAATAAAAATAAATAAATAAATATATACATGTACGTAGGGGTGGCTGTGGCTGAGAAGGTAGAGCGGGTCGTCCACTTATTAGAAGGTCGGTGTTTGATCCCCGGCTGCTCCAGGCCGAATGTCGAAGTATACTTGGGCAAGATACTGAACCCCATATTGCCCCAGATGGCTATTCCATCAGTGACTGGGCATATGAATGTGAGTGAATGGGTGAATGTGGCAAGTATTGTAAAGCGCTTTGAGTGGTCAGTAAGACTAGAAAATCACTATATAGTGCAAGTCCATTTATCATTTACGTTATAGGCTTAAAAGAACAATGCAAATGTGATTTGGGATTTTGCTTATTCAATGCATCCCCTTACAGTTTTGTTTTTAAACAGGCTTTTTAGTACTTTTCATACAGATTGAGATATTTTATGTTAATTTTTTGTACTGCTAGTATGTAATTAATCATGAAGGAGTTATTTTAAATCAAAGTAGGATTATTTTTAGAAGTGGACAAAACAAACATACATACATGTTCTCATATTGTTGCCAAATGTAAGAAAATGTTATGAATTAGCTCACGCTGTAATTATTCTTTAAACAAGTTAGCGTTCTAAATATTGTAAATACCCCCACAATGCATTGTTGTTTAAAACTGACAACATTTTGCGAGAAGAAGCAAGTTTTGGTAACTATTGTTTGTTTATTGCCCCAGACTGGATAAGACTTGGAAGCTGATGTTGCTCCAATACTTTACGTTTCTGTGGTTGCCATGGTCAAACAGAGAGCTGTGGCTGCAACTTAAAAACGCTGAACCATCATAGACTCTGACAGAGGCGGCGCAGAACCATGCACATTTCTGGGAGCAGAAGGCGCCCACCCTTTTCTTGCTGCTGCCACTGACCTCGACGACACATCTGCCGCTGTGTTTACATTGGAAACAATGGAGGCAGCGGCGGCAACCACTTGCTGTCTGGAAACACCTTTAAACTGTACAGCCATTGGGTTTGTGAGGCTGTATCATAAATGAAAAGTGGTGGTTTTAGTTATACGCTAACATTAGCATGCTAACCTTCTCACAATGATAGTGTTGAAATGCTGATGTTTAGCAGGGGTAATGTATACCATGTTCACCATCTTGGTTTAGCATTTTAGCATATCAACATTCCTAATTAACAGTAAACAAAAAGTACAACTGAGACTGAATGCCAATGCAGTATTTGGCCATAAAGTATTTGACAAAATAAATCATGATCTGATGATGATGTGTCATGCAACACAAAGTTAAGGGATCTCCAGTTTTTACGATTCATCCTATGGAGAATGCCGATCAATCCAATAGCTGTTGCGATTTTTCAGCCTGGACCAAAGTGGCGGACCAATCGATCATCAAACTAAAACATCTCAAGAGCCATGCTGCTAGGAAAAGTGGACTAAACCACCTTTACAAAACACTGCTACAATGGTTGGTCATATTACACACCAACTATAGCAGCTCTCATCAAACTGTATATGCCTGACATATGCCTGTTATTTTCAGTGTTTGACCAATGTTCTTCTTTGGTGATGTACAGCAGGTTGTATGTGTTTGGCATTATGTTGTCATGATTTTCAAGTGTTGTCCTTGACACATTAAATAATTTTTCAGTCATTAAACTGTTAGACTTGCAGTTTGGGCTCAAACACTTCCCTCTTTCATGTTTTGAAAATGCATATAAATGTCCTGATTGCCACAAACAATTGTAAGTGGGATTAAATTTATGGCTACCTATAGCTGCAACTAGGGTTAACTGTTTTCATTACTGATTGATGTGTTGATTTTTTTCTTGAATAACCAATTAGTCCTTTAATATATGAAAAGTCCACAAAATAGTGAAAAATGGCTTTGACCCAAGATGCCGTCTCCAAATGGCTTATTTTGTTTGATCAACAGCCCAAAATCTAAAGATATTCCATTTGGAACATGCTAATGTTTGGCTTTTTTCTTTTTTACTTGGTTAAACAATTGAAGTTAATCCATTTTCAATATTGTAGGAGATTCATTTTCTGTTAATTGACTAATTAAGTCATTGTTAGGTCTAAAGCCACCTTTGCAGCAGTGTTTGTAACTGGATAATTAATCTACATCACAGCTGAAGTCCCTTTCCATGGTAGAGTAAATTCAGTCACATTTTGTCTACACCCTTTAACTTGATCTTATTGTATGGCATGACTCACTCAAACATATGTATGTACAGGAATACTGACATCATCTCAAAGTCAACAGCACTTATGAATAAAAAGCAAAGGCATAAACACTGGAGAAGACTGTAATATAAAAGTTATTAAGCTCAGGGTGAAAAATTAGCCAGGTGGATAGTTGTCTGAGGCTCAGAGTTATGACTTCAGAAAGGAGTCCTTACTCAGCATGGGGAAAAGGTGGGGGTCAGGCCTACAAAGATTTCTATCAAAAATACTGTAAGTCAAGAAATTTGCATCCTGGTGATACTGCACCAATCAGCTAGAGTATCACAGGGAGGGACTGTGCTCATTATACTTCAAGTGTAGATGAGAAACAGGTTGCTGTGATGAATCCGAATGCTCAAAATATGATCTGCTAAACTGATTTATACCAGACTCATCACTCCATGAGTGATGCTTTTTCATTTTCAATGTGCAGCCTTCTGGAAAAAACAAACATGGTTTAGAGTCATCTCTTATCGCTGATGACCCATGATACAATTCATCAAATTGGAAGTTCACTCCTCTAAAATCTTGTCTCTCCAGTTATAACCACAGTGCGCATGAAGATTAAAACTCTACCAAAGAAAACGTCATGGAGGTCATGAAATATGCAAACAAGAATGATTTTGATTTAAACATTCATGTTTGATGAAGGTCAAATTCATAACTATTGAATCCCGCTGCCTAGAGGAAAC